GGTTTAGGGTTTAGGGTTAAGGCTCTCCAAAGCCTGCCTGAAAGGCCTCTTGACCCCACATCAAAGAAGCTTACATTCGGCTTCTCACTGGTCTTGGTTGAACCTTAAACCCGGACCCTAAACCCCGAACTGCCGCCGTGCTTGCTGCAGGGCCGAACTAAGTCGTAACTTGTACTGCGGTTGATGATATACATCCTGCAGTACCCACAAAAAGGAATATACCATAGTTCCCATAGTTTAGGGTCCTTAAGGCAATGCAGGATTTATACCATCAACAGCAGTATTTCTCAAGGCTCTGAATATATGTATACATCGATTGCTCAGGCCGCTATACTAAAGCCGAAGCGCTTTAAAACCCTTACTTTAAGCCCCAAACCCCTAAGAGCAACCAAACGTAACTGGGTTCTGGTGTACCGAGTACTTGAATACTTGTTTTTTGGACTTGGCCCTTAAAGGAACCATTACTGGGTTCCAAAAAATGACGAGGGTTTAGGGGTTACCGGGTTTAGGGTCTAGGGTTTAGTTTAGGGTTTAATGGGGTCTTGTTATGGGGTTTTATTTAAGTTACCATACTGGGGATCTATAGTAGATAATATGGATTCTTTACTATGGTAGCTTAAATTAAATCCCCTAGCAAGAACCCAGATAATGAAATCAAGGTCCATACTTGTTTCTCCCTGGCTACTTCGGAGCCCAGATAAGGATCTACCAATCAGAGTTTCCCGGAAACCGGCGTATCAGCACCTGGGGTACTGCCTGTTAATCTAGATTATAGACTGTTACTGTATCGGGGGCAGTGCCCAACTCATAATACACCAAGAACCCTAAACCCGAAGCCCTAAACCCTAAACCCCTAAACAGAATGCCTTTGTTTAGATGCTCCTTTGGGGATCCTGCTCCCGGTGCACAGAAGGTAGGGGTATAGGGGTTTAGAGCTTCTGCTTAGGTAGGATAGGTCACCTTTAACCGTTGGGGGGCATGATGACCCCTCTATAATCCCGAAGGTTAACCTTTAGCTCTTCCAAAATACTGAACACGCCAGGTTTCAGGTTCGGAACCTCAGACCTTAAATCCTAAACCCTCAACCCTGAAACCCTAAAGCCCCTAAAACCCCTACAAACCCTAAAAAAATCCTACAAACCCCTAAAAACCCTTAAAACCACCCCAAACCCCCAAAAGCCCCTAAACCCCTAAAACCCCTAAAGCCTCTAGAAACCCCTAAACCCTTGAAACCCCTAAATCCCGAAAACACCCTCTAAACCCCTAAAACCTCCCACAAACCCCTAAAAACCCTTAAAACCACCCAAAACCCCTCAAGCCCCTAAACCCCTAAACCCCCTAAAGCCTCTAGAACCCCCTAAACCCTTGAAACCCCTAAATCCCGAAAACACCCTCTAAACCCCTAAAACCCCTAAAAAAATCCTACAACTCGCTACAAACCCCTAAAACCCTAAAACCGTAGATCCTACTCCCTAAACCCTAAACCCTAAAACCCTAAAGCCCTAAAAACCCTCAAAACCCTAAAGCCCGAGAACCCCTAAAACGCCTAAAACCCGAAAACCCTGGGTCCGGCTTTAACTCCGAGGCTTCTCGGACCCCGAGCGTGGAGCGAGCCGCTTGGTGTGCCTCTCACAGGGCAGCGCCAAAGAGTGCCTTATCAGACTCCCCAGAGACTCCAATATCCCTTAATTAAGGAACATGTTTATCGGGTTTAGGGTTTAGGGATCATAGGACGAAATAACGGGATTAGTACCAGCGCCGAAGAGTGCCTTGTCAGACTCCCTGGGGATCCAAAAACCTAGCGTTTTAAGGGTTCTACCCTTTTATTCAGGGGTCATAACCGACTATTTTGACAAGAGGTTTAGCGCTTAGGGATCATAGGACGAAATAACGGGATTAGTACCAGCGCCAAAGAGTGCCCTGTCAGACTCCCTGGGGATCCAAAAACCTAGCGTTTTAAGGGTTCTACCCTTTTATTAAGGGGTCATAACCTACTGTTTTGACAACAGGTTTAGGGTTTAGGGATCATAGGACGAAATAACGGGATTAGTACCAGCGCCAAAGAGTGCCTTGTCAGACTCTTGCTTGAAGGACCATTACGTTTCAGGTTTAGAGGTTTAGGGATCATAGGACAAAGAGTGCCTTGTCAGAGTCTTGCTTAAAGGACCAGTGGGGCACAGGGTTTAGGGCGTAGGGGTTTAGGGTTTACGGGGGCTTAGACTCCCCCAGAGACTCCAATATCCCTTAGTTAAGGAATATACCTTGAATCTTTTTTTAGGCTTCCTAGTATAGTATAGTTTAAGGCATATTCCGTAATTAAGGGATATTGGAGTCTCTGGGTCTTGCTTACAGGATCATAGGGGTAGTTCTCCAAATTAGGGTCCCCTTTTGGGTCCCCAATGTAGTAAGGCACCCTTATAAACAGGGACCCCCGAAAGGGACCGAAATTTAGAGAAGTACCCATAGGACGAAATAACGGGATTAGTGCTAGGAGCTACTTGATGGTGCCTTTTGGGGACAGGCATGTTCAACATGAAGTAGGGTCTTAAGATGTCGGGAATACGCTCCCTAACACAAGGAGACCCACACCACAACGGAAGCCTAAGTGATGATAATTATGGCGACTTGTGTGTTGAACGTGAAGTAGGGTTTTCATGACAGCTCAAGATTCATGGGAAACCTGAGCCTCGAATCTTAGACCCTGAACCCTCGAAGGGAGTTTTGTTAATAAGATATTCCGCCCATAAACCCTAAACTCTAAACCGTAAACCCTAAGCCCCCTAGACCCTGAACCCTCGAAGGAGTTTTGTTAATACCAAGTTCCGCCCCTAAACCTTAAGATCTAAACCCTATATCCTAAACCCTACACCCGAACCGTCCCTTAGCCAGAAGCCTCAAGCCCTGAACCCTCGAAGGTAGCTTGGGAATCTTTGGGCCGTGACAACAGCTAGCTGGATTCTGGAGTACCATGCGTGAATTCTTGGACATTTTCAGGGCGGTAGTTGCCATTATAGGAGCCTTATAGAAGGTCTATATACCTTATAGGATTTTAGAAGCCTGAAAAACACCCTATATACCCTAAACTCCCCACCTGTAGTTTCTTTGAAAGCTAACTTTGGACCTGGTCCTTGAATCTAATATGGACCCATAGGCCTTTCTAGGGACCCTTAAAGGTACAAATAGGGTATCTAGCCGGTGTATCAGGATCCAAGGGTTATGGGCCTACGAGGGGCCTATGTTTTGAACTTTAGATTAAAGGAAGCACTATGAAATAAAAGGCTATACCCTTTTCTCCTTGATCCTTAAGGACGAAGTGAACCCCCCAAGAAAGCCTAGGGTCCCTATACCATATAGGGGTTCATGGAAAACAAGGGGTCTAAGGCCCCTACTTAAACCCTAAACCCTTAACCCTAGAACCATATAGGGATTCATGGAAAAAAGGGTATTCGGCCCCTACTTACAGACCAGACAAGGTATGGGCAGGAGGAGGGCCTTCCCCTTTACTTTGGCGGCGCGGCTTGGTCAGCAGGCAACCCTACTTAGTTCCCCAATACCCAACCTTTCAGTTTTTAGGGGGCTCTTCTGATTTGGTAGTAATCTGAAAGTTTAGCCTTTTCTTTCCCTGGCTCATGGGGGAAGCAGGCCTAAACCCCTGATGGCATCCTTCGTCAGCAGTTTCGGCTCGGGATAGACGGTTCTTCGACCTTTTTTGTACCCTAAACCCTTAGCTTTAAACCCTAAACCCTGAGCCCTACACCCTAAGCCCTTAGCCCTAAACCCTAAACCCGAAAGCCCTAAACCTTAGTCCTAAACCCTGTTTAGGGTCTTGGGGCTAAGAATGTCTTCGGAATTCGGGGTTTCGCGAGGGGCTTCGGGTTTCCAATGGTTTCAGATTTTTTGGGGACCGGTTCTCCCTTGTAAAAGAGAATCCGCTCCGAATGCCAGAGGCATTGTTGAAAAAAACATGCCTCAGGGTTTCTTGGTATAATGTTACGATCATTTAGCCTAAATCTCTACTCTAGTCATTCTTTGAAGAAGCTCCCTGGCTCAAGATGAAGACAGCTTCCCCTTCAGGGCACTGTGCAGGGTCCCCCTGCCCCTTAGGGCTTAGGGTTTAGGGCTAGGGTTTAGGGTTTAGGGCCAAGTTTAGGGTTTAGAGTTCAGGGTTTAGGGTGTTTTGGTTTAGGGTTTAGGGTTGCAGAGCTCAGCGAGTTTCACGGTGAGGTCCGCGCTAGCCCTGATGACAAGACTCTTCATTTTCTCGGGGGCGATCCCGCAACTCCTCCATTCGTGCTGCTTGGCCACCAGCTGGTTCAGACCCTAGACCCTAAACCAAAAAAACCTAAACTTTAAACCCTAAACCCTGAACCCTAAACCTTATAACTTAAACCCTGAACCCTACACCCTAAACCCAAAAACCCTAGACCCTATTGGGGTTCAGGGCTGTGGGGTTTAGGGGGCCGTTCGTGCTGCTGGCCCAGTGAAGTGAGGAGCCGATACAACGACAGTTTTATGTAAAGATCCTACATCTTAGGGTTTACTAGGGTTTAGGGGGTTGAGGGTTTAGGGATATAGGGGTTTTGGGTTTAAAGGTTTTTCGGTTTTAGGATTTAGGGGTTTGGGGGTTTAGGGTTTTAGGGGTTTAGGGGTTTAGGGGGATAGGGTCTAGGGCATCAGAGTCCTATTGAGTTGACTACGACGGACTAGGGTTTGTAGATCTGGTGGGTGCCTCTTTTGCAGCCGAGGTTTTAGAGTTTAGGTTTTAGGGTTTTTGGGTTTAGGGACTACCTTGATAACTTAACCCGCCAGGACCTACTTTTTTGCAGGGTCCCCATAAATCCCATATTAGGGCTTATGATAATCACCTACAAAGGTTTTGGTAGGTTAAGGTAGCGTTTTGGATCTGGGGGTCTGGTAGCTTTGGCTTATGGGTTCGAGCGGATTTTTGGCCAGTGCTATGGGAGCTCCTCTTTCGGGAAGGGTTTAGGGTTTAACCCTTTTAAGGGGGTTTAGGGTTTAGGGTTTAAGACCCTAAACCCTAAACTCCAAACCGTTCATGACTATGTGGAGGGGGCTGTGATGTTGGGATTGCTGGGCTGTTTCACCTCAAGTGTAGGCTCGCAGGGGCTGGATTGGCCGTAAAGTCCGATTCATTGCACTTGCAAAAGCTAGGTTCCCCAGTAGTACCCTTTTGCCCTTTTTTCTTTTTTGGTTCCCCTACTAAAACCAAATAGTAGGAAAAAGGGTACCCTTATTAAGGGGCTACTGGGGAACCAAGAAAGAAAACTCTAAACCGACCCTACTAGAACCCCAAGCCCTAAACTCTAAGAGAGTCCTCAAGATCTGGACTCCCGACTGGGGAATCCCCGTCTTGAAGATATAGGGGTCTGGAGACTGAATTGGTAAAGCTTAAAGCTCTATTCCCCTAAGGCTCTAAGGACTCATCTTCTAAAGTTTTTTGGGCCCGAAGACCATACTAGATGGGGCTTTTGGGGATATTGTGAGCCTGTGGGTTCCTTGAGATCAAACTTTATGCGTTCGGGTAGAATGCACCCCAAAGCGCTAGTTTAGTTCAAGGCTTTACTTCACAGGATCCATCATGTTCGCTGCAATGTGCTTGTCTTGTGTTGTTTGGCTTATCTAGACAACTACTGTACCGTTTTGCTGCACTGTACGCAAGGTATCTAAGCATCTAACTCTCGAGTGATTCCCATGATTTTTGCTAGGTTTGCCCCTATTGGGCTTAAATATGGAGCTTGTTTTCGACTGTTTTTTTTTTTTTTCCGGAGGCTTGGAAGGGCCAACCTAGTTTGGTGTTGAGGATCGACCACGATGTGCTTAAAACGATCATGGGATTTAGTGGCCAGGGTTATTAGAATATAGAAGTCTATCCAACAATTTATGTTACACTCCCTTAGAAACCCAATGAAGACATTCATAACATAATACTTGCTAAGTGAGTGAACCTCCAAGTCTTTGCTTGTAGAACCCTAAACCCTAAATCAGGTCTCGAGCATGTCTGGAACGACACGCGGCTGACACGCGGTTCTAAGAGCCTTGAGGACCAATTGACCCTGAGAAGTAGGGTCCCTATACCCTTATACTACCGTTGATGATATAAATCCTGCATTACCTTAAGGACCCTAAATTATGGGAATTATGGTATATTCCTTATTATGGGTAATGCAGGACATATATCATCAACGTTATGAATCCCTTTTTCGTATATGAACCTTGAACCCTTTTGCGGTTCATTTCGTCCTGAAGGAGCATTGAATCCTTACAACGTATTTTTCCCGCAGGTCTCGAACCCTAAGCTAACGCCGCAATATAGGGACTTAAAAATTGCCTATACTATTTTGGGGGGGTCCTTATGATACATATGGAAGGACATACCCCAACACCCGATTCTAGTTATCAAGGCCCCTATATTAACCCTAAGCGATATCACGACACCTTAGTAAAACTCGTCGAATCTCAAGCCCGATTGTAGCCACTGCCCTCGCCCGCGAACGCAGGTTTTCTTGGACGCTGCCGTCGGGCAGCGGTGCTGGGGAGATGACCACGATCGCTAGCTCCATGATTCCTTCTTGCACAGAGCCGGTCTAGGGTATCAGGTGCTGGCCCATAGTTGTATAGAGCCCTAAACCCTAAACCCTAAACCCCAAAAAGTAAACCCTAAACCCTAAACCCCAAAAAGTAGACCCTAAACCCTAAATCCCGAAGTATAGATAATTTGGCCTTAAGGTCTACAGCTACCGCAATGTACGAACCCGGTCGAAGCTTAAGCAGTTGCTATGGACACCGAAAGGTCAGGAAAGTTTCGCCAAGAGGGTCCATAGACACTACGATTGTGGATTTAGGTTTCCCAAAACCATAATGAGCATGGTCTTTTTGGTCTGATTCCAGAACGGTAGTATCTTTGCACCCTCCGAGCAGTATCTTTGCACCCTCCGAGTATGTACCCTAAACCCTAAATCCTAAACCCTAAACCCTTAAACCCTAGATTCTACTGTAAGCTTACACGACCTTCTGGGCTGCATGGCAGAGTTTGTAGACTCGGGTCCTACAAACTACCCATAGGCCCCTAAGTAGTTCCTTTTTGGGAATTACCTCATACGATTCTAAGTATAAACCACAAAGAGGAACTACCTAGGGGCCTATGGCTACGCCTCGAGCTTCAAACTCGGAATCCTGATACAAAGCTGCTACGTTGATGATCTAAATCCTGCATGACCTTAAGGACCCTAAACTATGGGAATTATGGTATATGCCTTATTATATGTGTAATGCAGGGTTTATATCATCAACCGTAGTATGTAGCTCTAAGCTTGATCAGATGAACCTAGATGTAGGTGGCCTTGTGTCTTGGTGTTCTACCTCACCCCAAACCCTAAACGCTAAACCCTAAACCCTAATCCCTAAACCCTAACACCTAAGCCCTAAACCCCAAACCCTAAACCCACGCCATAAACCCTAAACCCTACACCCTAAACCCTAAACCCTAAACCCACACCCCAAACCCCAAACCTGGTCGAGGCTAACATGGAACGCCCGTCCAAAGCCGTGCTACATAATGGAGTTCCGGCTTGGCCTTCTAGAGGTGCCCAAAGTCATATTGATATCTGTTTAGCTTTAAGGTTTAGGGCTTAGGGTTGATGGTATCTGTTTAGAACATAGTAGCATTTATAGGGCACTGTCCTGACTTTATGATATGTGAAGTTGTGTTTTCTGACTTCTGACATCCTGGCTCGAAGATGAAATGCGCCCACCCAAGAGCCCGCGAAGGAAGAAAGAGGCTGAAGTGGATCCTAAACCCTAAACCCTAAACCCCAAACCCAAGCCAGCGAAGGAAAAGAGAGGCTCAAGTGGATCCCGCATACATCAGCAAGCCCGAGCTGATCGAGTTCCCGACGGGAAATGGCGACACCGCCTTCGGCAGCTCGGAAGTGGAAAGGCCCTGCAGGCTAAAGGGTTAATCGGTTTCGAGTTAAGTTTAGATTTGGGGGTTTAGGGCTTATGGGTTTGGGGTTTAGGGTTTAGGGCTCAGGGTTTAGGGTTTAATTGCGAGTCGTCCGCCTCGGCCCGGCCGTATGTTGGGAGGAAGACATGATGCCAGGTCTGGGGCTTTTGCCTTCGCAGGATATCGGGGTGCAGCGCCTGCGGGGTGAAGAGTGATAGGGTTTGTGCATAGACAAACTATATATAACTATATATATATATAAATAGAGTGTGACAGCACCCGCAAGGGGGGGAGGGGGGGAGAGGTGGGGAATAGAGGGAATCCGAATAGCAACCTCTGACCGCTTCGGCCCGGGCCGGGGCGAACTGGATCAAAGCCTGTTCTCGAAGTCCCCAAATCTAGATTCAAGCGTGTATTCAAAGGGCCTTGCGTCATTCAGTTGGCAGATACTCGTGGATATCAGCAAGTCAGATCCCAATATCACGGATTCTTCGCACTGAGTCTATGACCCCTTTGTTGGCATGGCTATTCAACTAGTACGGAGGTGGAGCATGTTCAACTAGTACGGAGGTGGAGCATGTATACCCCTGAACCCTAAACCCCTAAACCCTAAACCCCTAAACCCTAAAACCCTAAACCCTGAACTATACACCCCAAAGCCCCTAAACCCTAAACCCCTAAACCCTAAAAGCCCTAAAGCCAAAACGCTGCAACCATGAAGCCAGAAAGCTCTCGAGCCGGAGTGCGATTTCCGGCTTGTCGGTTCGGCCCTAAGCCCTACTTTAGGGTTTGAGGGGTTTAGGGTTTTAGGGTTTCAGGGTTTAGGGGTTTAGGGGTTTAGGGTTCAGGGTTTAGGGTTTAGGGCTGCCTTACCCCATACAGAGGAATATACCATAATCCCCATAGTTTAGGGTCCGTAAGGCAATGCGGGGTTTGTATCATCAACAGTACCAAAACCTACTTTTGCAGGGTCCCTATAATTTCCGTATTAGGGCATGAGGGTTTATAATGATTAACAACCTGTAGAAAAGTAACTCATTAGGGTTATAGTAGTGTGAGCTAAAGGTTTAGGGATGTTGGGGGCTTAGTGATATCGCAGGCAGATGGCACCCCTGAAACCCTAAGCCCGTAAACCCTAAACCCCTAAACCGCTAAACCCTCAAACCCCTAAATCCTATAAACCCAAATATCATCCCGGGACCCCTGCAGCCTAAGTTCCCTCCAGAAGCCAGGCATCCACTGAACCCCAAGGCCCAAAAGGTGTGGGAAACGCCGTAAAACCACCAAAATCTCGATCCAAACCCGTCAAGGCTTAGGGTTTAGGGTTTTAGGGTCCCGGAAGGATCTAAAAAGTAGATCCCCTAATTTTGGACCCTATCTACTAAAGGGTCCTTTAGAGAAACCACCTTTAAAGGATCTACTTTTTGGATCCTCCCGGGGGTCTGGGTGTAGGAAATTCTAATCCTGATCCTTAGAAGCCCTACAATAATAACTATTCCCCTCCCCTCTCAAAAAAACAAAGACCTAAGCAAAGGCTTCTCCAACCCTAAACCCGCAACGCCCTAAGCTCTAAACCCCGAAAGGCCTAAACTAAGGCTTCTAGTAAACCCTGAACCCCCAAACCCTATATAAACCCTCAACTAACCTAAACCCCCAAACCCAATAAACCCTAAACCCTAAACCCTATAAATCCCTAAACTAAGGCTTCTACTACGCCCCCAGCAATGGCGACTTCGAAGCGCCGGAGGGCTCCCCGCCTCCGCCGCTGCTGGTGAAAGCGCACGGCGGGCCAACCGATTCTCGGCTTTTGGGGCGTTGGAAAGGGATCCGTTAAAAGGATCTCTTAAAGGGATTCATAAACCCTAAACCGCAAACCCTAAACCCTAAAACCCCTAAACCCTATACCCTAATGGTTCATGGTTTAGCGTGTAGGGTTTAGCATACAAAAGGATCGCTTAGAGAGGGATCTTTCTTAAAAGGGATCCTTGAAAAAAAGGGATCCTTGGAAAAGGGATCCTTCAAACAAGGATCTTTTCAAAAGGGATCCGGGATCCGTTAAGGGATGCTCTTCAAGGATCCGTTCAACGATCCCGTAGAGGGATCCTATCAGAGTTTTAGAGTCTTGGGGTTGTTTTCGGGTTTCAGGGTTTTAGGCTTCAGGGTTTTGGGGTTCTAGGGTTTAGGCTTTAGGGTTCTGGGGTTTAGGGTTTAGGGTTTTAGGCTTCAGGGTTCTAGCTTGTTCCTTCCAAATAAAACCGAAACCTCAAAACCCCCCCCCAATACCCCTAAACGCAAAAGCCCTGCAAAGACGCCAGCAAACAAAGACCCAACCAACACAGCCATGGACCTTCTCTAAAACCCTAAACCGCCTTAAACCCTAAACCGCCTAAAGCCCTAAACCGCCCAAAGCCCTAAAGCCCTAAACCGCCTAAACCCTGAGCCCTTTGACCGGCTTTAACCCTAAACCTAAGCCCTGAACCCTCAACCCTGAACCATCAACCCCAGCTCTGAAACCCTAAACCTTGAGCTAATCCCTAAACCCTCCACCCTTTAGGCCTAAACCCATCCGTAAGGACGAAATGAACCTCAAAAGGGTTTACGGCTCATATACCATGTGGGGATTCATAGTATATGGGTATGGGGCCCCTGCTTACAAGGTTCATTTGGTCCCCAAGCATTTAAAACCCTTAAGCACGACGAGACGAAGACCCTAAGCCCCCCGCTCCTAAGCCATATACCGCGCTGAACCCTAAACCTCTAAACTCAGAGGGACCCTTATACAGGGGGGGGTCGGGGGGAGGGGGGGCCCTGACACCAGCAATAAGGATCTAGTAAGGCCTATTTAAGGAAGTATAGTCCTTACACCCCTCCCCCCTACCCCTTTGAGAGTCCCTACTGTTGATGATATAAGTCCTGCGTTACCTTAAGGACCCTAAACTATGGGAATTATGGCATAGTCCTTATTATGGGTAGTGCAGGATTTTGATCATCAAGTGTATGATTTAACCTTAAACCCAAGCCCTGGATGAGGCCCAGACCTCCATCGTCTTCAATCCGGCGATGCAGTACTGGACCAGCCGCGGCTTCGCGGTCCTGGACGTGGACTATAGGCCGGACGTGTGGGGTTCCGTATAGGGTTTAAGGTTTTGGGTTTAGGGTAAAGTAAAGAGTTGGAGAATTAAAGAAGCGCTCTCTTCACGGTGCGATATGGCTTCTAGACTAGACGGATTCGATAAGGGCTCTAGAGGGGGCTCTTGGGCGCTATCGGGTGGTTTCCTTCTTGCGGGTTTTGGGTTTACTCGCGATCTAAGATATGGGGGCTTGACAGATCAGAACTGAACTGGGGTTCACTATAATTCATAGTATACGCACATAGCGACTATCAAGGGAATACTACCTACACCAAGATCCTAAGCCGAAATTCTTCGCGCTTCTAAATTGCCCATGTACTCTATGTTTTTTGCCTTAAATTCACCATCTAGGTACCCGTTTAGGCACATGGACCGGTGAAGATTGTATGCGTGCGAAACCAGGAGTTCATTGGGAGGTAGCTGCAGCCTTGTGCAACCTTATCGCATCTTAAAAACATCTAAAACCCTATACCCCATGTCTGAAGCC